TGCATCGCGTATGCATCGCGTATGCATCGCGTATGCATCGCGTATGCGTCGCGTTTGCATCGCGTCTGCATCGCTGCTTAAAGTCGCGCGCGTGTGTAAAGGTAGACGATTAGCCACTGCATCGCTACTTCACAGCGTTAGCATCGTGTTTGCATCGCTACTAAAAATTACCGTGTGTAACTGCTCTTTAACACGCAAATCTCACAATATATTCTATTGTACCTCCTTACGATCCGGATGCGGCCGAGTAATCAATTTTAATTATCGAATTAAAAGTCGTAGTAGTCAAGGGAATGATTAAACATCGCTCTCAACGCAGAGTCTGGTCTGTCCGTTGTTGGTGAGAACGACTTTGGTTTCGAGCGGGGTTGGTGTTCGCTAGATGTTAGCGGGCCCCTTGCGCCGGCGCAGTCGCTGTTGGCAGTAGACGCGCAGGAGTACGGCACCGAACACGAGAACCACGCCGAAACCACCGCCCACTGATACTTTATGACCGTATACAATACACGAAAGAAGAATCGACACCGCCTGTAATGTTGATTTTATTTATTTCAATACCTTCATGTAAAGTTTGTCATGTTATAACGTTTTCAAGGAAAAAAGATAAACGACTACGAAATTAAGGGAGTGACAAATTATAAAGTACACAATACTTTTAAGTAGGGCTCGAAATGGTGAAACTTCGTAAAATTAGGTCAGTTGAAGGCTAGATGTCTGCAAAGTCGGTACTGAAATCCTCAACAATTGGCAGAGTGAGAATGACCAAGAAATACGTATAGGGAACTTTTAATTCGAAACAAAGAGTCAAAAATATGAGCGAATACGCTTCTCCAAGATCGCATATCAGAAGTAAGTCATTTCTAGAATACTCTATGGCAAGAACAGGTGTCTCTTAACGTTAAAAAAATTCAAAACATTAAATCGAACTTTAAAATTATGAAATGAGTAATTACTGCAGGGAAAACAGAAAAGCTCTCAGTGCCATAGAATGCGTAGAAGTCTGGAAATCAGACGTGAAAAACTGAGTAATCTGTTAAAGTGAGAAAAAGAAATAAATATTAAATAAATATTAGACAACATCACATATGTTGCTCTGATCCAAAAAGTAAGTAGCTGAAGCACTTGTGTAATGGAAATCGAAAACAACGACGGCAACACAAACACCCAGACCCGTGACAATATAGTAAGTTAGTTTTCTACACTGAACCGAGCGGGGATCGAACCCGGGACCTCAGAGATGGCGACCCCATGAAAACCTGTGTGCAAGCCACACCGCGGAGGCCGTCGAAATGAAAAGAATTTTAGGCATTAATTCTATAGTAAATATTAATTGGGACTCTTTCAGGAATCAGGAAAGTAAGGCCGTTTTCTAGGAACGCGTAATTAGAGAAATGAAGATAATAAGTGAACCTGGTTTCACACTACAAGCTACCTTAAGGAACAATCTTTTACTTTGCACAAGAAGATCGAGAGTTTAAAACAGAAGTTACTGACCTGCCTAAGTGTCATGATGATAGTGAACACGACAGCGCCGAACTTGGAGACGGTGTGGTAAATTATCAGCTGTCCGATGGCCGAGCTCACCGATAACAGGAAACAGTCCGACGCAAACACTGGGTGCTGCGAAAATTACATTGCAACTCTTTACTGCAAATTTAATAATAAATCATAATTTTAATAAAACAAAATGACCTCAAAAGTTCGTTGAATTACAACTATTTGCCAAGTTTTATTTAAATCGGTTACCGGATATTGCGCAAAATCGGATTCAACGCCTAGTTTGCCACCCTTAAAGGTGGAATATTTTCTTGTAATTTAAATGGGACCAATACCGAAGTACCGTCTTTCCAACAAAAAAGAATCATCAAAATCGGTTTACAACTGCCGGAGTAATCGCGTAACATTTTTTTTATTAACCTATTATGTCCCACTGCTGGGCAAAGGTCCCAACAAAAAATACAGTGGAATTGAGAACCTCCTCCTATTTTTAAGACGGTCAAAAAAACAAATTAAAGACAAGACAACAGTGTTACATTTACGTTTGTAAACATTTTATAATAAAGAACCCGTATAAATTTTATTATTAGTTTATTGTCGTATACACCTCCAAAGGCAAAAGTCTTCGCTGAACCAGATCACAGTTTACACGCATTCAGTTCCCACCAAAACTACCTGTCATCATCTTCATGGATGTTGCTTTTACAAGTGCCAATACTTATAGCGTTTATAGTAAACAATAAGAAAATGTTGAAGAAGCCAAGTGTGACTTTGATTTTTATTCTTACGTACCACAAGTATAATAATCTTTTGAAAATAACGTACCTGTAACAACGCTATGGAATTCATAGTGGACGAGTGATGCAAGAGTGCCGAAGCGGTCAATAAGCACGAGAAGAGGTTAACCCCACAAAGCATCTGCATGGAGTTGCAGTTGTACTGCATGAAAAGAGCGTCCTGCCACGACGATGTGAAACTGTCGCACATCATGTATAGCGCAAGGAGCATAAACCCAGACATCGTGGTCATAGTTGATACTGAAAAATAAAGCCTCTATAACACTGTCCATATGGCCTATTACCCAGAAAATCGGTGAGGAGAATAGGTGTTTAAACAACTAATGAGTTCGTTAATTTGATATCCGTATCTACTTAGTGAGTTGGTGGTTCAAACGTATTTATTCTCTTCGTTTTTTTGGATAATGAATTTTTCGGGCTTTTCCAAATAATGATGATTGACGTCCACTACGAGTTTTAAGTAATAATGATTTTAGTCCCAGGGTGCTAGACTAAGTAGCTGAAATGGTAGCTCTCGTAAGTATGGCCCTTGACATTGTTCATATTTATTGCATATACCGCAAAACTTAAAGCACGGAATTCTTCATCCTTTAAATTAAAGATAAATCATACCAGCTACTGCGGTTAGATTTTGCAAGATCATAAAAACTATTAATACCGGTAATATATGTATATAATAAATAAATAAATAACAAATAATAAATAACGCACACACTCAACATAGCCCCGCACTAGGCAAACCCTGTGTCGCGGGTGCCATGGACACACACATAGACAACCACAAATTACACCCAAACTCACGAGAGAAATAATTGTAGGCCATACAACTATTTCTCTCGGCCCGGGAATCGAACCTGGGACCTCTGCGTGGCAGTCTGGCATGGTAACCGTTCGGCCACGGAGGCAGTTATAATACATGTTTTTATTACATTTATTTATACGTACATCGTAAATCATCATTATAAATAGAATAAGACGTAAAACGCTTTCAATCACGTTGCCCAACTTTTGGACGTTTCTCGTATTGCAAATTAACGTAACAACCGAACTAAAAAAAATAATTGACTTAACTCAAAAAAGTATAAAGAAAATTAATACAAAAGTTGGGTTACACGTATTACGTTACGTATACGTTGGGTGTCACAAAAAACTACAGTTAAATTGTATGTTGTATATATTATTTATATTGAAATTTTAAAAAGTACTAAAAATAAGTAATCATATTACGTGAACATTATTACAATCAATAAATATTAATAATATATTACAATAAATAAATAATCGAATGACAGAATAGTTGCTTAGTAACAAATATATGCCAGGCCTCCGCCGCAATTCCTGAACTCAGTATCAGAGGAGCCTCCTAGAATTTGGTCTACTTGGCGAACTCATGCAAAGCCGTCATTCACTTGAGCCGTCTGACACCTTGTAAACTTCAAACTCCCATCTACGGTCTGAACTATAGTTATGAGCCTGTACTTGATCTCCAGGTTTGAATTCCCTGGTAGGGATTTCCGTATTTTAGGGAATAGTTAGGTGTGAGGATCTTCTCACTATTGCAAAATAAAATAATCTATATTTCTTTTTATTTTTAAAGATGAAATATATTAATTTTATCCAAAATATTGATTTTGATATATTGATTAATATTGATTTCTTAGACGAAAAAAAACAAATATGTAACAATAATAAATAAAATAACAGAATAGAATAAAAGCATACACTAATACTTAATAAAAAAAAACCGCCACCATGACAAAGCGTTGAGAAAGCACACATAAATAAATAGAAAGATGTGTCTACACTATGCTTACAATCTACCAAACCTGCGTTATCGTCGTGGCTGCCGAACATGAAAAGTACCATGCCCACCGATATAAGACCAGCCGTCACGTATTCGTACAACTCGTATTTGTTCCTGGACACCACTTTGCCCATCAGCATCACCGGTATCACTTTACATGACTTTGAAAGGACCTGTGGCGTAAATAGTGTCAATATCGGCTATAGCACAGCAATTATTTGATTTTTACAAGTGTAATAAATATATAGGGGGCCTATAGGGAGCCTTATAAAATATTTAGCCGACTTTTGAGGGCTAGTTAATAACATTCCAAACGAATTTAAATCATCTGTTCTGAAATTGTATTCTTTTAGCTTTTGATTGAATGATGAATTATTACAAGAACAAGAATCGTTCAAAAAGGATATTTGATATTATATGAACAGTGTAATTAGTCATGGTAATACTATTTTCTCGTTATTTGTCTTCAGAAAACATCAGACCGCTTTATCCATTATATACGACCCCAGTTTATACTGTCAATGTAAAATGAAAGTAATTTACATATCCTCGTTCTTCCTCTTCCTCTATCGTTTGAATAACGCAAAATAAAACAAAAATAAGTTTTATAGCACAGGTACATGAGTGAGAAAGTTGTTTTCACTTTATTTGCCTTTTTATATGATATGATAAAAAGCGGTAGAAATAGTTTCTACAAGTACGCATGTAGGTATCAAGTTTCGACATACCTGTGTAGGAAAACTGACGTACTTAAGGGCTTCATACTGACACCAGGCACTGATTACATTAGTGAGAGAGCAAAAAGAGAACTTATAAAGTGGCGCGACGACAAGGTGTTTTCGCATACAGATGAGGCGCGCTAGCGCGATCGTGAATGCTAACAGCCGGTTAATAAATACGAGGAATTGAGAATCGTTGAACCTCAGCAAACTGCCGTCGGGCATCACATAGTTCTGTAAAAATCAGAAATTAAAACTATAGTTCACTAAACACTAAATTGACTAATATGAAACTATAATGAGTAAAGGTACGCGTTATCCTCACCTGTGTCATTATCTTTTCTTGGAGCAAGCCCCAGACTAAATAGGCACCCATTAAGCCAGCAAAGCAGAACGCAAGTTCAAGGCTCTCACGAGCTGGAGTCTCATCAACTTTGAGAGGCTTCACCGTATCGGGCATCCGCTCATTCGGCTCACCGAAGCATGCGACGAGACACCGCGAGAAGCACCCATTGCTGACTGCAATGTATTTTATGATAATTAGCATAAAAATATAGAAGTAGTTCGAGAATAATTTTTAGCGTTTCTTTAGCGTTCAGGTGGTCAGACGGCTTTCCATGCTTATACTTTTCAATTCAATTTCTAATTAATTAAACATTTATTGTTTTACTGTTATCAATTATACATTTATATTATCACATAATATGTTTCGCTACACCATACAAACGCGTGAATATAAAATACGTGACATAAGCGTTGGCAAAATCTTGGAAAATGTAATTATTTTGTGAGTGTACTATGGCCTCTATGCCTGCCTGGTAATAAAACATAAGGTTTATTTATGGCGCCTAAGCAGGAAAGTACTTATAAAAGTAGTAGAAAGTAGCTATAAATAGTTAAACATTTTATCTGAATTGGTAATTTAAAAAAAAGTTAAATATCAAAACCCATAGTGTAAAAATTGTCAAAAACGAAGTAACTTTTATTCATGAGTACGTACAGGTTCACGAATACGACAAGTTAGACGCTCAATATTTAAATTCAACTCTATACTGCCTGCTATAAGCACTAAGTATCAAGCATGATGTGATTTAGCTGTACAATGAATAACGTGATAATAATTCATAATGATTGCTGCTGCTCGTGTATTTATCCACTTACCTATTTTATCAAAATAATTGGTTTTATCGATATATTTATACATGATAAAGAGCGGTAACAAAACTGTGGCATATCCAGCAAAGTTGAGCAGCAGACGGAAAAACCTGAAAATAAATTATAATGAATAAATAACAATATATTTTAAATTATTTTTCATTCCAATCATCCTCGGCTATGAGCCTGTTGCCCAACGTTACAAAGAAAACCTCGAAGGCTTCTTCTCTTGTTTCTGGAAAACTGTGTTTTTAGGTAGGTACCAAATAGGTACTAGATGTCATCAAGGTGATGACCATAGGTCGGAAAAAGGTGTTCCAGATATATAGACATAGCTACAAGGAGCGACATAAAGTTGTTAAAACAACCAAATATTACTTATTTATTTTTTCCAATTCACTACATCGTACTTTTTACTGCATCAAAGGACAAGCTACTGAACTAGGAAGTCAAAGTTGGATTTTAAAGTAATTCTAATGGTGCCATGATAACTGACAACCTGGTTGCCGTTCCGTCAATGTGACTGTCACTATGTGGGGCGCAGTGTGGCATCTAAAGTTAGGGAGGGGCGGAGAGTGAACATTCTTGTTACTTTTTTATTCTCTGGTTTGGTAAAAGGTACTGCATGTACTGCATGTTTTTACATAGCAATTAGAATTACTTTAAAATCCAACTTTGTTTTGTTTTCCTAGGTTTTGTCTTACGATGCAGTAAAACCGTTTCCGGAAATCCGGAATTCGAAAAAGTAATTAATTAATATTTGGTGGTTTTAACAACTCTATGTCGCTTTTGGAAGCTATGTCTATACATGTATCTATATATGTGGAACACCTTTTTCCGACCATTGGTGATGACACTATAATAGGTAATTGATGTAGTTTGAAATTAATTTTGTAATCTGTATTCTGATAATATTTGATGTTTAATACATTTTTTGAAAAAAAAATAGTTTTTTTATACAGTCTGCACATGTCATCATTTATCATCAGGGTGATAAGCGGCAAAGGTACAATAACTGTCTAATGAAATATACTTTTATCTGTGAGATGTCCTGCGGCTAGTAACAATATATCAGATTTTGTAGTTTTAGTACAATTTCTGCTTAGTGTTTCATTGGTAAAAGACCATTTGCAATTTAAGTTGCAATTAGGACGGCTATTTTTTACTGACTAGTTTCTTGACGTTTGTGGTCAAAAGACCCAGTAGGGTATACCAATTTGATAGATTAGTCGATCCAGTTTGTCTCCTTGCTTTGATAGAATTATTTCTAGGTAACTCGTGATTCCCGCAGCAACCAGACCACATGTTTTCTTTGAATCTGATGTAATATAAAAAATTGCTTGTTTATTATCATTATTTATGACATTATGCTGATCTTGATTAGTTACATTGCTGTATTGTAATCTAGTTAAGTTTCTTTTATGGATATCTTGAAATACTCTCATTGAGGGGAAGGTAGAAGGAAAAGAACAAAAAGAGAGGAAAACGAAGAATAGCGCATAGTGAATAAATAAAGAAGAATGTTCAAGTGACCAGCTATAAAGAGGTCAATGACCTTGGGGAGTGGTGGAGGCTACACTCACAAGAGCCTGGGTCTTAAATAGAATGGTGAATAAGAAACATTCTCCAGCCTTTATATTTGCCACTGTGATCTCCCAAGCACAAGGCGCATTTGACCAGATTTAGTATATTTTGTAAGGCTGTCTGCAGCCTGCGTTATGGTTTTCTTCAAACAATTCTTTATATTATCCTACTTACTGCTGGCGTCTTTAGTACTGTGACAAAGTTTTTTTTTCATATTTGAGATCTTAATACTTGTATGGCAAATATCATGGAAGAAAAACACCATGGAAGTGCCTTAAGCCTCAATTACTACCAGAACTGCTGTGTCACCAAAGCTGACACATTCATAATTTTAAACACTATGAAATCTTGATAATGATTGGTCATAGTTTCTAATATAAAAAGAAATAACTAATTCTGGACTGTTAATATTATTTAAACTTTACCCTGATAGCATATTGTTAAAAGTTCAACATCTATTACTGCAAGTAATAACGTTTTGATATTCATATTGCAAATTCAATTAACTTACTGCCTCCCTGGCCAAATGGTTATCATGCTGGACTGCCATGCAGAGGTTGCAGGTTCGATTTCCGTGGCAGGAGAAATATTTGTATGCCCTACATTTATTTCTCTCGTGAGTTTGGATGTAATTTGTAATTAGACTATGGGAAACCTTGTATTGCGAGTGCCATGGACACACCATGGCATTCGCAATACAGGGTTTCCCTAGCACGGGGCTAGTAAAAAAATAATTTGCTGCTATCTAGGTGAACAATTATCAACTATGAGTAGCAGTAACATCACATTCGAGATGTTTACTTAGTTCTCAAAATAGAAGCGACCATATTGCAGCTGTATAAGGAAAGCTGTGAATGGAAATTTTATTAAAATGATTCACCCTAAGAGTCTATTTATTCTTTAGTAACATCTTAAATTCTAGTGTAGAGTATAATGTAGATACATACCATGAATATTCCATATTGGTGAGCGAACCCGACTGCTCATAAGCTGTTAGCAGTTCTTTATACAGATGAGCAAACAGCCATGTTGACAGAGAACAGAGCCCTATCACCAGCCTATTAACAATGAAAAATATAAATACTCAATACTCAATATATTTATTGTATTCATATGGTACATACATCTCTTAAAATTACAATAATGCTACACATATGAGCCCTTTAATAGGGACAACAATAAGAGCAGAGGTAGGCCGAGGTTTCAATTATTAATTAATAGTATTGTTATTTATCAAATATAAATATAAAATAAAAAAATATGTCCTGTAATAAGAAACAAATACGTCATATTATAATAAGAATTATGTCACTTGAAAGTTTGAATTTAATTAGATTACAATAGCATAACTTTATAGTATATAATTAACATTTATTTATTATTTAAATTTATTATAATACTATTACTATTATTTGTCATCAAAGTATTCATTTAAATTGTAATAGCATTTATTAATAAGATGTAATTTTAATTTATTTACAAACAGTACTACTAGAATACTTGTCATCGTTTTTAACAATGGAGCTCATTGAATATCCTCACCGACATCGAGTGGTTGAGTGAGCTGTGTATGTGTAGCTGAGATCGAGGCAGAAGCAATCTAATGCATGGTCTAAAAGTGTGTCTAAATACTTGGATAGTGTTTGTAAAATTTTAGTATGTGTGTGATATATTAAAAATAAATGCATTTATCCACCAGCAGTTTAAGATGTATATCAGCTAAAATTGGAGCTTTTGGCCTGATGATATGAGTAAAATATGAAGTCCTTTAGATTTGAAATACCCATTTGCCATTTTTCAATTCTGAAATTATATATGAAAATGTATAAGACTTGATATTAAAAGTTTAAATAGAAAGAAATAAATTTATAAATAAAATATTTCTCGAAAGAAAGAAAGAAATATTTCTCTAGTATGAGACAGTTTCGTATAAGGTTTATGAAAATTGAGATCTGAATAGTCTTGCATCTTGCAAATACAAACACATAATAATACATAACGCACAAAAATATTGGAATATAGCAGTTACTCAACTTTCGACATAGAAACAATATTATCCGCTGCTAGTTGTAGGTGCTGTATATGGAATGACAAAAAATAATTTAATTTTGTTAAAGTAACTGCAATTGTATCACTGAATATTTGCCATTTTGCCAGTTTTGAGCATTACTGTGTTGCGATATCTTTTTGTGTTGTGTCCTTATAATTATGGATTAGAGATTTATTTTTTAGAGTTTACTGTTGCAATAGTATGATACTAATCTAATATTAATGTAAAGTGCAGACAGAAACCAAGCACTGTTTTAAAATATTTCAATACATACTAGCTATCTTCTTGATACATTACTTAACTTTGTAATACTGGTCCCTAACAATTTTTCTAATGTCTCATTGGTCTGTGAAAGAAAACGATTTATCCATACATAAATAGGACGAAATTGTTTCAATATATCATCAGTACGTTGTTGATCGTGCGATTATTAATTATCTCGTGATGCAGGTCTAGAAACCTTTGTATTACGATGACAAGTTTGCTTTTACGATATTAACGAAAATTAAGTAAAAACATTAAACTCACCCAATAGAAATTTTGGAGCGCATTTTGACTCTCACCTCAAACACTTATACACTACTTACAGATGTGGCACATCACTCAAAAGTTTAAACTGTTTGTTTTAATCGAAATACATTTTCATAAAATCTATTGTTATCGCTGTCCGAACACCGCCTGAAAAATTACACATTTTTTTTTAATATTAGTTTTACGGCATCGGAATAAATCCACCAAGCCAAATCGTCAATCAATTTTTTTTTTCCTATCTTTTAAACAAAACTTTTTTCTTTCAATGTGTTTATTTGAAGGTATCTATATCTCTTCAATGGTGGAAAAAATGTATGCATATATATATTCATAAGTCTTCGTATTATGTAGTAAAGATGGCAAGAGGCGAGGGATGTCTTCTTCTTTATAAATCTTTAGTAGGCCTACTATAAGAAGCAGTTTTTGCACACTGAAGGTAGGGCAATGTAGAAGTAAGAAATCGAGAGTGGCTTCATCAGTATTACAGTGTTCACATGTAGCCGTGAATTTTTAAGTTTTAATCTGTTCAAATGAGCTGCGAATTTTCCATGTGCAAAGCGTAATCTGTTGATGGTTGTTATAAATTTTCTTGATGGTGATTTTAAGTTAAAGTACCAGGGTTTCGTGGGAATATACTTCTGTATTTCTCCATACCATTTTCCTTTCAATTGTTTCGTGTATTCCCAATCTCGTGACCAAATATCAAACATACGAGTTTTCAGTAGTTTTCCTACTGAATAGTAATCGGTCATAGGAACTGATGGTGGTGAATAATAACATGATGATGGATCAATTTTATTAATGTTTGGTACATTAATTTTCATTAGACTATCCTCAACTTCGTTCCCCGTTATTCCTGAATGTGATGGCACCCATATAAATTCTATACGTTTATCTTTAATTTCATATAAATATTGTCTGATTTTAATGATATATGTAGATATTAGTTTTGTAAGATATTTGATTACTCTCCAGGCAATTCAGTACACTTAAGGAATCAGCTACGATAAGGAAAAAGGAGTGATTGATGTTTGATAAATATTGAAGTGCCGCATATACAGCATAAGCTTCAGCTGTAAATATCGAAGTATTCTTGTCCAGATTAGAGCAGCGGCCAAATTTAACTGTCGAATCATAATAGGCAGCTTTAGCGTTATCTTTGGTTTTGGATCCATCTGTGTAAATATTCCGATATTGTTGCTTCTTGTTACTAATATACAACAGAAATTTATCATTATTTAGAAGTTTTTCTTTGCAAATCACAGGACTCACAAGCTGGATTTCCAAAGTACTAAGTACCCACTGCTCATTATGATCTATGTACTTACATAATCTTTTTAACTCATTAATATGTTCCCCTTGTAATAAATTGTTATCTTCAAACAAACAAAAATATTGCCTATTGGCTAAAATTTTCATTGTGAATTTTTCTGTAAGATATTGAAGCCTTACATCAATTGGACATATACCAGCCTCTATCTCTAAAGAATTAATGGGTGTAGAACATATGGCACCAGTTATGATTCGAAGACCTTTGTTTTGAATGACTTCCAATTTTCGAAATAGGGATGGGCTCATAAATTTTCCAAAAACTATTAAACCATAATCATAGTGACTTCTAACAATTGCCTTATAAATGATATTTAAAAGTTTGGGGTCCATACCCCAACTTACACTCGCTAAATGGCGCATTATATTTACACTTTTTTGGATTTTATTCACTACTTTATTAACATGGGAACCAAAAAGCATTTTTGAATCGAATACTACTCCTAGAAAATTCTTTTCCTCAACTAAACTTATTTTTACAGAACAATATTTTATATTCATATGTACAGGGTTAAAATCAAACTTTTTACCAAATAACATTGCAGAACTTTTAAGGGGATTGATATCCAAATTTCACTTTGTGTTATAATATTGATACATACAATTTAAGCCTTCATTGATAGTGTTTTGTGCTTGTAATAAATTTCTACTAGATGTGTACAACACAATATCATCAGCGTACTGTAAAAAATATAGATTACTCAACTTCAGGAATTGATGTAATTGTGCAGTGTATAATATATAAATCAGAGGTGATAGTGTTGCTCCTTGCATTACGCCTTTAAATGCCTTCTTTGGGCCATATAAAGTATGATCAAATTTAACATAAACTGTTCGAGAATAAAAAAAATTAAAAATCCATTTAGATATTTTGCCAGGAATGTTATAGCTATGTAGAATATTGACCAATTTGAATAAATCGACATTGTAAAATGCACCACTAACATCTAAAAACACACTAATCAAATAACTGTGATTATTGAAAGCATTTTGTATGTCACCACCAAATTTCAACAAACTATCTAAAATACCACGACCTTTACGGAATCCAAATTGATCAGGAGGTATAATATACCTTGATTCTACATATAATTCTAATCTATTTTTTAACATGTTTTCGAATATTTTTCCTATGCATGGAGATAATGATATTGGTCGATAGAAGTCGGCTAAACTTGGATCTTTATCCGATTTTAAAATATGAACAACGGCAATATTTCTCCACGTATCAGGTATCAATGAGATACCTTGCCATAGATTATTAAAATTTTCAGCAATACTAATTTAGCTGAGCGATGAAGTCGTTTAATTAAAATATATGGAATGTCATCTATACCAGGTGTGGTGTCATTTTTATTATTTAGGGATAAATGAAATTCTTCTTCAGAGAAAGGCAAATTTAAATGAACATTTAAGTCATTACTTTCAAATAAATCATGAAGTTGTTCGATGTCATTATTACCTGATGATCTATTTGATGCAATTTTATCTAAAAAATCGTTTATGAAACCATTAGTTTTGGATTTTGGACTTGATTTTTTTCTATTAAAGACTTTAACTAATTTCCCAACTGTACTGATAGGGGTATTTCTATTGAAACTGGTGCAAAAATGTTTCCAACACAAAATTTTCTGTTCTCTAATAGTTCGTTTTTTGAGTGCATCGATTTTTTTGTAAATCATATAATTTTCCATTGTTGGATATCTTCTATAATTATAAAGTGCTAATTTGCTCTGGTTTACCGCATTAGCGCAGATATCGTTCCACCAAGGAACAGGTTTTAGAATTTTTTGCCCACTATTAATTATTTTATGTACTGGAATAAATTGTTTTCGTAAATCAATTAGGATTTTACAAAAAAATTCATATGCTTCAAGAGCATTTTCTTCGATTAACAACCGTTCAAAAAGACAACAAGATTTATTAGTGTATTCTACCCAATCAGCTTATTTATACAAAAATTTTTGAAAACATTGTGAATATTCATATCGATCGGCTGTAATGGTTAAATCAACTATAGTAGGGAAGTGCAGGCTGCCCAAAGTATCATCAGAATATACTGACCATTCCGCTGAAGCGGCTAAAGTTGAAGAACTAAATGCAATATCAATAGCTGAAACTGATTCATTAGGAAGATTGACTGTGGTTGATGCACCAGTGTTTAATATACACATATTTAAATCATCTAACAGATCAATAATTTTTGTTCCTCTAGGATTAATATTACCTGAACCAAAAGCCGTGTGTCGTGCGTTAAAATCTCCCATAAGTAAAATAGGAGCTGGCAGTGAACATAAAATGCTTCTTAAAACAGAAATTGGAAAACGACCCTTACATGGTGGACAATACACACCCAAAATTGTAAATGAGCTATCTGTTGTTTGTACTTTTATGGCTACGGTTTGAATATTATCATTACTTACAATAGGAATTTCGGAACATTTAATTGCGTTTCTACATAAAATGGCAACACCACCTTGCCTGGTGCCGGTATCATTTCTGTTGTCTTTACGAATGATTTGTTCATTCGTTCCGATTCGCTCTGGAACTTTTGGAGGGAAAAGTGTCATTTTTATTTTGACTTTCAATTATTTTGTAAAATCTAGTTTAAAGTGGAATAGGATAGTGCTATTATGCCTTAATCGAAGATTAAAACGCGAAATTATACGAATCTCGAACTAAAATACCCGTATCGGCCCGTTTTAAGGAATCCCGAGTCAATCCAAGCACGCGCCGCTTCAAATTGCCTATCCTCTTTGTGGCGGCCATATTTACAGAAACATAATTAAACTTCATGTTTAGGCTGATGGCTTTGCCAAAGCCTTAATAAATTAAAAAAAAAAAATCTTTACGAATTAATTTGTAACCTCTAAAATAAACAAAATCCGAGGGTTTTAGCCAAGTTTCATTTAAAATACAAATATCTACATTGAATTTGTGCAAAAATTGATTAAGAAGGGCTGTTTTAGGTCTAAAACTCTGAATATTGTGTTGTACAATCTTTAAGCAACCTCTACTTGCCATGATTATCACTTAAATTTTTAATGAAAGCCTCTTTAATTGTAGATGAATTAATTGGTAAGTTATTTTCTTTACTGTTTAAACATAACAAAGTGTTAACAATAGCATTAAGTATTTTTTCGTTATTTATAACATCACTCAATAAGTCTTTGTTTGTTTTTTTTTGTGGTTGAGATTGAGAAGAACTCACTACTTTGGCAAATTTCTGAGTTAAGGCTGGGAAATAAGCACCCAACGTGTTTTTATTTGTAATTCTAGCTTTATTTTCAATTATTTTTTGCTGTTTTACTGGACATATTTTAGCCACAGCAATATGCTCTCCTTTACAATTGATACATAAAGGCTTATTGACATTGGTACAATCTTTATATGAATGTTCTTGAGAATAGATTGAACATACAACATTTCTTTTGCAATATTTGGTTGTGTGTCCAAAACCCATACATTTGTAACATTGTAATACAGGCTTAATATACTCTTCCACAGGAAGTGTACACAGACCATAACTTACTTGAGCAGGGAGTGCGTTACCAGCGAATGTCAGTGAAACTGTCTGCAACGGGACGATACCTTCAGATGTCTTCTTGGTGAATCTTCGGACAGATAATAATTTCCTGGGAACTGATCAATTTATCAAATAAATGCTTGCATGTTAAGTCCGTTGGGATGAATTTGATGACTCCTGTGCATTGATGGGTGTAGCAATTGCAGTTTTGCTTTTCTTGCTAAGTTTTGTGCTATTACCTCCACTATCAGAGGCCATCGCGATC